TGTTTATGATCGGGTATTGAGTTTTAACAGATATGTCCATTGGCAAATTACGCTTATTATTTTATTCGTTTGTATTTATAAGTGAAACTGTAGTTTAATGACAGTTTCTGACAGTAGGAGTTTCAGGAAAAAAACTTAAAACAGGTCTGTGGGAAGTGTTAAAACTTAATACAGAAAAACATCAGAATATCATCTAACTATAGTCCATCCAAAACGTCTGTGTGTGTGACTATTTGCTGAATAACTCGAGAACAAAAAGAGATGTAAATCAGTGATTTTCACTATTGTGTAGGGTTTGAGTACTCTATCGATCTCTACTAATAGAAGATGAAAAACATCGACTTTTAAGATAATGTTTATTATCGATCTTTGAAAGATGTGAACGTGGTTACCGTAAATTTTATAGTGACTTATCAGTTCTAAATATGTGAAAGATAGTCCACAGAATCCTACATGAAATGGCAAAAGTCCGACCTCTCTAGTTATTGTAATTCAAAAATATCACACATTTTCCTGGAGTCTATACTAGTCCATATATTCGATTACGATCGCACTGATCCATTATTACGGACACCTGCGATGCAGTTGTTAACAATGTGACGACACGGGAGTACTTTTTCTTAATAGGATGAACTGCAAATATGTATAGTAAAGCGCTTTGTTGATTATTGTTTACATTATAAGAATGCTTATTTTTGGCCTCGAACAACTTTTATAATTGAAGATGACGAGCTAGATTATGCAGAAAGAGTCCAGACTTAAAATATGTGACTAAAATAAAAAAGTAAAACCAAAAAGTGTAATTTTATGACCAACATATTACAGAATATCGCTGATTGATATAAACAAACATATAATTCTTATATACTGTATTCATCTAGTTTACATCGGCCTTGCTATGTTGTATTAGTGTTGTAAGACTTTTTGATCTGTTTTCTTTTCAACAGTTTGGTCGTCCAAGACTCCTATCTGAAGATGCAACACTAACAATAACTGCAATGGCAAACACATAAACGTATGTAGTGACTAACTTTAGTATTTAAAAAGATGATTTCAATACATCGAAAGGATTCATGGAATACCCATGCAATGTAGCAAACACAACGTAAACTAGATGAATACAGTATATAAGAATTATATGCTTGTTTATATTATTAAAGATTTTTTATTCAATTTTCAATTTTTGTTTTTCATTGATGTGTTTTGTTATTTAGAATATTCGATATTTATAAATGGTAGTCATTGAATGAGAGTTGTTTCGAAATATTAATTTGGTTGATTTAATATGTATATGTATGGATGTATCTAATGAGTTTCATGTTTATAAAATTTTTCCTAAAATTTATTTGTTCGTTTAGTTTCGAATCATTGATGTAATATGAAATAATTTAAATTCATCTGAATTTAAATTGATATATTGTTTAGCAATTGTCCGTACACACCTTCATTATTTGTAATAGATGATATTTCATTTAATTCTTATTATAATTTCATGTTATTTGAATCTTGATATTATTTCTTTTTGTTTATGTTCAATAACAAAAAAGAATTTTATGCGTGCTGGAATTAGTTGATGTAAGATTGCCTATATACATACAGTGGGTCCCAAAATTGATCAACCACCTTATTGAATTTTTTTGTTTTTTTTATATCTCAAAAGCTAAATGAGTTATAATGGTCTGGGTTTCACCATATTGTAGCCCATGATATCTCGTNCATAATATTCCAATTTTAAATCCTGAGGAAAAGAAAAACAATAATGTTTTATTCAGAATTCAAATCAACTTAAGACTTCAGCAACAAACTATATCGAAATCACATGCAAGAGTCACTGAAATTCTTTCAAGTATTCATCAATAAATTTGGCTTTACATGAAATATTTCTTTTTTTAAAGATGACTTTTACTTTTCTTATTGATTATTCATACTGATATATATTTTCGACGCTCAATTCATGTTTCTACATAGCACTCCTTCGATAGGCGTAAGCTTTGAAAAAACAACCAAAGAACTCTAAAAACAAATAAATTTTTATGGAGAATAATAAGCGATTACTCTTTCGAATTAAACAGCCAATCATGCTAGATATAATTTCATTAATAAAAAGTTCCTTTGGCTCAAACGTAATTTTTCTATAATACTAAAAACAAAAATTCTGGCTCAGTATCTTCTAACATAACTCTAATTTTTTTATGGTATAATGTGTGCTTCAACAAATTGAAAGCTCGAAATATATCTTGAACATACGCGATATATTTTAACATCGAAAAAAAAACGAGCTGTTTTTGTGAATTCGATTGTATTTTTTACAAAACAATTATGCTCAGCAATATAAGGCTACTTCAAATACTAATAACGCGAATTAGCTATCATTCAATCTCTTTGTATAAATGCATCATAAAGATTGATCAAATCATGCTGAACTATTTTAAATCTTACACGTGAAATTTCATCTTCAAAAGCTTTTATATTAAGTTTTTTGTGATATAATTTGTGTTCGAGTATAATCATGTTTAGCTAAACATAAACGCATTTGTTCAAGTAAAAATTCAAGTTTTTCACGACAACCCATTGTTCCATAAGTTTCTACCTATATGCATAACAAAATAAATTATGTTAATTAATAAATAAAATATACTTGAAGTTCTTGTAAAATTTTTGCTGATTATTTTGTTTTACGTTAACTTTCATAAATATCGGCTAATTCTTTTGTTAAACGTACACTTTCATTTTCAACAAAAATCTTTAAAAAAAATAGTCTTTTCTTCTACGACTATTCATACTTTTCCTATTTTAACAGTACGAAGTGTTTCAATTAATTTAAGTTTCGTATCTAAATCAGGTACTATTCAATATCTCGGAAAGAATACATTCTTTTTGGCTCATGCTAATGACCATGAGATCTACTCATTGACAAAATTTCAGGGTCGAAATTCCGTCATTCAAACTAGGTGACATCATCAAAGATACATCGCAGTGAAATCTGTACTTTCTCACTATATACCCATTATTGAAAAAATAGCAAACTATAGTAATTTAAAGTAAGAGATGCAAAAGGGGGAAAATCAATTGAGGTTCACTGTAATTAGTATAAAAATGTATCCGCGGACACTAAGTTCAAATCCATCCTTACTCTAAGCTGATTCTAGGGAAAGTTCCAGCAAATAGTTTGAAATTGTTCAGAATAGCAAAATTTTGTGGTGAAGAATTTATGGTAAAATCTTCAGTAGTATATCATGACGTTTTAGGTAAACATTCATTCCGTAAGGGTTAGATACAGTTAATTTAGTAACCCAAAATTTTCTGAAAGCCTTCGTTATATTTGTTTCGTTTTTTTTTGTGATTCGAACGAGCTTACCACAATATAGGACTTGATCTAGTCGATTTTCAAGATTCTTACTTTTTCAGCATAAAAAAAATGAATGCTAAGTTCAACGAACCATTTCCGTAGGTTTAATGGAGTTGTCATTCATTTTATCCGGTTAGAAAGGAAAAATCTTAAAAAGAATTTGATTGTGCTCTTCATTTTGGTATGTTCTTTCGAACCACAAAAGAATAAAATAAAGATAACGATGATTCAATGAAAATGTTGGGTTGCTAAATGAACTGTGCTGAGAAATTTTTGAGTCAATATCTGCCTAAAACGTCATTGTACAACGCTGGAAATTTTACTATAAATTCTGCACAGCAGTACCGTGCTATCCTGAAAATTTCATACAATTTGTACGAACTTTGCTCAAAACAGTTTTGAGTAAGGATGGAGATGGACTTTGTTATACGTCCTTATTTGTGTTGTTATCGTCTATATCCTCAATTTGCTGATCTTTTCATTTTTATTGTCCAAAACGCTTGTATCTCTCTTTTTACGCACACACATCCATCCGTATATTTAATATTATACTACATACGCAATACAATACTGAGTTCAAGGTCAGCAAAAGATTCGTTCCTCGACTTTCTAAAGAACAGAAATAAAAAAAACAATAGAGATGAAAGAAACGGTAATCTTGAATTAGGTCGAAAATAGGAGCATTGCAATAACACTTTATTGTAAAGATGAAGAAAAGTGTTTTGTTTGTAAAGGAAGTTAAAGACACAAAATTTACAGCAGATCACACAGACTTATATGCAAAAAGTATTGTTTTTCAATGGTGAAAGAATTTGGTCAAAATTGGCTTTAGATCGATGGAATGAAATGTTGATATCAGATTATCTTTGATTATTTTCGAATCGTTTGTCGTCTCTACCAATGGTTGCAAAATATTTACATTTTTTGTCGTCAATGCATCTGCAAGCCAGTCAAAACCTTCTCGAAGACCTTTTTTTTCTGTAGCTACAGTTCCTTGGATATGCCATTTTCTCTCACGAGTGAATTTATTCAAGGCAAGTTTATCGCGTAACTCATCAGTGGACATTGCATTTGGTAGATCTTGTTTATTGGCCAAGATCAGAATGGGTATATTACAAAGTTCCTCTTCATTGGCCGTTGTGTGTAGTTCTTTGGATGCCTCATCTACTCGATCTCGGTCATTACAATCAACTACAAAAACGATAGCACGAGTATTTTCATAATAGTGTCGCCATAGAGGTCGAATTTTGTCCCGACCACCTACATCCCAAGCTGTAATGCTAATATTTTTAAATTCAACTGTTTCAACATTGAAACCAATCGTAGGAATCGTTGTGACGACTTCACCTAATTTCAGAGCGTAGAGAACAGTCGTTTTACCTAAAGTAGATCAAGTAAATAAACATAGAATGTAATGACATTATGCTTACCAGCTGCATCAAGACCCTGCATAAGTACGCGAGCCTCTTCTTTCTGGAAGAAATAGGACGAAATCTTATTGAATGATGAACCCATTTTTCTTATACTTTTCTATATGCACGGGCGTTTGTATTTGAATGTCTGTCTGTGCGTGTGAAACTAATGGCTTTTTATTTGAAACACAATGATTCATTAACTAGCAACGCATGTTCTTTTTGTAACGTGGCAAGTATTGCGCAATCACTATGCAATGGATTTTTCTTTCACTTTGAAAAAAATGAATCATTTTCAGATCACTATTCTAGAGAATTAATGGCAGAGTAAAGAAAGTCTAACATCGAAGAAATGTTCAACCCATCGTCTTCGTTCTTGTCAATAGAACGGAGTAGACAGAGAAATTCGATATGAGATAGGCAACAAAACGATTTTAATTAATTGAATTGTGAACAGCTTTAATGAACAAACCGAGTTGTTATTTTAAACCAACTCTAAACAGAACACGAAGAAAATAACTGTGCTTCTTTTTTTACTCGATTGATCCGGTGAACTGTGGTATATATGACTGACTTATACGTGAATTAACTCTAGTAAGAAATTCTCTTTCTTTTACTCTGCAAGAGTTTAATCATGAAGAAATTTTTTGAATAAGACCAAAGTTCTAAATTACGAAATTCATATCTTAGAAATCAGAAGATTCTCTGTTTGAAATTGAATATCTGTGCATTCATACAAGTATGTTGTCCTTTTACACATCAAGTTATAGAAAATAATGATTCGATTTGAAAGAAGCATGAAACATCATGGTTTCAACCAAGATCACCGACCTATTCAAAACGGTAGTGTCACTCAAAACTGTTACAGTGATTGTCCGTACTACGCTTTGAATACATTGCATGGTTAGTTCACTTAAAGTCTTGTGTCGATTGGAGATATTTTTATTTTCATTTGTAGATGATCGATAGTTATTATGCAATTTAATTTAATCTTCGCCGAAAGTTTGAAGCAAAATAAAGCCTAAAATGACTATAAGATGGGCTTTTGAACGATGCAAATCTCAATTCACTACCCTGTTTTGTATAACAATTGATGCAAATCATACTCAGGGTGTGCGTGGATGTAGGTTGGGTGTCATTTCTAGTAATACGAACAGTCGCACCCACACCCACCCACACCCTCAAGATAAAAATGATTCAGCAAAGTATACAAAAGAAAAAAAAAGATAAGATCCAATATCAAGTAAAATCACAATTTTATTTCGTAGAGAAAATTTTAATTCTAAATTTTATTCATATCAATGCACACACCCTCAAGGTATTATATGTTGATATCACATATATTTATATATGTGGAAATATTTATTTACGCTCACACTTTTATTTATAGAACCAAAATTTAAATCAATATCGTTCGTTTCATCAATAATATAAGAAAAACGTTAAACTTTGAATCGATAAGTCTACTACTACACAAATTATTCAACAACATACGATAGAAGAAAAAATAAATAATGATTGCATTAATCATAAGAGTGTATAAATATAACAACCAGATTGATGAAATATCTGAAAACTAAAATAGAAATATTATTTTACTTAAGAAAAACGTTAAACTTTGAATCGATAAGTCTACTACTACACAAATTATTCAACAACATACGATAGAAGAAAAAATAAATAATGATTGAATTAATCATAAGAGTGTATAAATATAACAACCAGATTGATGAAATATCTGAAAACTAAAATAGAAATATTATTTTACACACCCTCAAACATCAACTGATCTACTAACTAAAATTCATGACAAAAACAAATATATATATATATATATAATTCAATCGAAAACTACATAGATAATCGACATGAATAAATATATACAGTGGGTCCCAANACTAACACATGTATAACATATGATAGTGTTTTGAAAACTCTGAGCTTTATATTTTTACGATGTTCAAGTTTATATACCTACAGTGGGTCCCAAAATTGATCAACCACCTTATTGAATTTTTTTGTTTTTTTCATATCTCAAAAGCTAAATGAGTTATAATGGTCTGGGTTTCACCATATTGTAGCCTACGATATCTCGTATCCATACACAAAATTTCAAGTCAAAATTTTAATGTGTTCATTTTTTATTAAAAAAAGTCTATCTTCCTATCATTTTTCATCGCTGCAAAATTAATCAACCAGTAGAGCAAAAGATTTTTTTTTCACAAAAAAAGAAGTTGTTTTAATAGTTTTAATATCTCGTGGGATATCCTTTCATACGGGTACATTCGTATAAACGATTTGGAACTGATTCGACTAGTTTATTAGTTACATCCTGTCCGATATTTTTCCATTCAGCCTGTAGTGTTTCTCGAAGTTCTTTTTCGCTTTTTGGCTGGTGTTTTTTCATACGGCGTTCGAGTTCGTCGCAAAGATGTTCTATCGGATTCATATCCGGTGAAAATGGTGGCCAAATTAAACGTTTCACACACTGTTTGTCGAGCCAATTCTTCACGACACGCGAAGTATGCTTCGGGTCATTGTCGTGTTGAAACACCATTTCTTTTCCCAGTTGCAATTTCTTTGATGACTGAAATAAATTTTCAGCCAAAATTTCTTTGTACATTTCCCCGGTCATGTTACCGTCAACAAAGATCAAATTTCCCACACCGTTCCACGCAAAACATCCCCAAACTTTCACATTTCCGCCTCCGTGTTTCACTGTTGGAACTGTACATCTTGGATTGAATTCTTCTGTCGGTGTTCGCCACACCATAACCTTGCCGTCAGATCCGAAAAGATTGTATTTTGATTCGTCTGACCATAAAACTTGTTTCCAGAATACCATGGACTCATCCCGATACATTTTGACATAATTTAAACGTTTAAGTCGGTTTACCTTATTCACGTACGGTTTTTTTCGAGCAACGCGCCCGTGTAATCCTATTTCATGAGCGCGACGACGAATCGTGTTATTTGATATTATTACCCCTAACTCTTTTTCAATCTCATGTTTGATAGACGATGCCGATTTTCGTCGGTTCACTTTAATTTTTCGTTGAATGGCCTTGTCAACTCGTTCTGTGGTCTTTCTTTTACGACCACGGCCGACAATATTGGCTATACATTTTGTTTTTTTGTATTTAATGATCACAGAATGAACTGTATTTCTCGAGCAGAGCAGGTCCTGTGCGATATAACGTTCAGAATCGCCAATCAAGAAACGTTTTATAATAGTTTCTCGAAATTCATGTGAATGCTCTTTTCGTACGGGCGCCATGTGTGTGTGATGAAGAAAAAAATTTAATGAAGTGCTTTTCTCGCAACCAAAATGTGTTTTAGACACAGACAATAGTGTACATAGACTAACTGGACTGAAATAATAGAGATATTCATGAATTGACGACGACTGTTGTATTCTTTTCTCCATTGGTTGATTAATTTTGCAGCGATGAAAAATGACAAGAAGATAGACTTTTTTAATAGAAACTGAACAGATTAAAATTTTGACTTGAAATTTTGTGTATGAATACGAGATATCATGGGCTACAATATGGTGAAACCCAGACCATTATAACTCATTTAGCTTTTGAAATATAAAAAAAAATTCAATAAGGTGGTTGATCAATTTTGGGACCCACTGTATGTACATCTCGAGTTGGATTGCACATATAAGAAATACATAACGCATAAAGACGAAACAAGAATATATAAGAATAAATAAATAAATAACTTGTTAGAGTACTATCTAACACCTTCGATAGGGTTTATCAAAATAAAACGTATCATACACCATTTTTAAGCTGTTCAGTCGTATAAACGCTATGGTAAACCTTTCCACACGCGGCATAATCACTTGATAAAATTATTTAATTCATCTTTTGATGGGTAGATAAAAGGGTTTATCGCATAAATGGTAGAAAAGGATATATCATACGTTGCATTTTCATAAGCGATTTAAACATTTATCATTCGGCGCTTTTTTATCAGTGTACGTGCATATTATATAGCCAAATTTCAAAACTTGAATCAACACCAAATAAAGAAATGAATCGGATGCGAAGAAAAAATGCAATAAGATACGCACATCAAATAGTTGTTGTTATAGATGCAGCAATTGTTCTGGAGGAAATAATTGAAATATAGTAACTACTGGGTCGAAGATCTAATCTAAATTAATTACTTCAATATAAAACAAAAGAGTAATCTTAACAAAAAAAATATAGCACTGTTGTAATCATACTCCGATAAACGACAACCAATAAATATGTTGCACGTTCTTTATCATAACCGCTGAAATCTGATGAGAGAAAACAATTAGCGATGAATGCAATAAAAGGTTTTCCAGGGTGAGTTCAGGAATCTGTGGATGAGATTTAATGAAAACCGATTGAATGAAATTGTGAAAGCACCAGTTGGTTGTATGATTATCCAGGTCGTTCATTCCTACAACTGGATCCAATCGGATCTGAAAACTGGTTTCCTCGGATCGGAATCCGATACATATCCGATCGTATCCTACTCTGGGATCTGATACGCCAAAAAAGTCTGCTATAGTCAACCTCTAAAAAGCTTTTTTGCACTAAATAGAATTTTGATAATTTTTTAAAATTCTCTCGTCGGATCCATCAATAATTCTGAAACCCAGAGTCCAATTGAATTTCCTCGGTTAGTAGTATGTTATCGAATTCGATAGAATTCGTCGTCGGATTAGTCGACCTGGGTAGTCATGTAGCTGTGCTGTTATATGCGATGTCAAGAGAGATCGCATTGATTTTTTGCGATATGCCATGAATACGTTCCCTTCGTGAGCTATTTTAACAAACCTGTTGGAATGCAAAACTCAAAAGGGTTTATGACGAACCCTATTGCAAATAGGGGTGGGCCATTAACATTAATTTTATATTAATGTTAATGTTTCTCATTAACCATTAATATTAATGCTTAATGTTTTCTAAGAAAAACTTAATTCATTAATATTAATGATTAATGAAAAACATTAACATTAATTTTAAAATTAATGTTTTCATTAATCATTAATATTAATGTCAATGTTCTTAAATGATATTAACGGTTAACGGAAACATTCACCATTAGTATGAATAGCAATGTTTTCGTTAATATTATGGATTATACTTTCATTAATCATTAATATTAATGTTAATGTTTTCATTAAAATCAATGACTTAATATTAATGGTTAATGTTTTCAGGAAAGCATTATAACTTTCCATATTAAGTAATTAACACTTTCGGAGAAAACATTATCTATTAGGATCAGTTAATTGATTAATAATTGTAGATAATGTTTCCTTACAAAAGCCTAATTCAGTAATATGGAAAAATTAATGTTTTCATGAAAACATTAACATTAATATTAATGATTAATGAAAATATAATCCCTAATATTAACGAAAACATTACTATTCATACTAATGGTGAATGTTTCCTTTAACCGTTAATATCATTCAAGAACATTGGCATTAATATTAATGATTAATGAAAAACATTAACATTAATTTTAAAATTAATGGTTTTCATTAATCATTAATATTAATGAATTAAGTTTGTCTTAGAAAACATTAACCATTACTATTAATGGCTAATGGAGGTCATTAATTAATGTCATTAATTAAGTTCCGTTAAAAAAAATGGTCCACCCCTAATTGCAAATCACAAATTCGAAATAGTTCACAACGAAATCTTGCATTTTTCTGAACCTTGTGCAAATTTCGTATAATTCCACGGATACCTAAATAGTATCGTACAGCTCCGCGAAACCTCGAAAGCTTCGTTTGGTACCTTTTTTGTTTTTGGTGCTGTTTGGCAATTTCACACTCAGAATTTTCCTTCTCACTAGAGCTTGATGAGATATATCGCTTCACTTCTGATTTATTTGCTTCGATCCTCGATTGAACACAAAACTACAAAAATAATTTAGTATATGTGTCTAGACGTATATTGCGATACTCAGACCGTTCCCTGCACACAACCACCCACTCAGAGCTTCTCTACAGCAGTCCCCAGGGTCGATTTTTTCGATTTATTACAACTAATGAATAATTCCGTAAGCATTGTAGAATAAGTTTCATATGCTGTGTGGGCATATAAGATGTGCGACCAGTAGACCCTTGAGTGTGTGGGTGTTGGATGTCGACGCGACTACTAGATTGTGGAAGTGAGGGTGAATGTGAGTCTGAATATGTGGGGGTGGGTGCTGATAGCCTCTTTCTGAGACGAACACGCACTCATCCATCCACTCACACCCTCCAACGAGTACTAATTTTCATCTCAATAGTATTCATAATTTGGCTGCTGATTACATCAATAGTTTTAACGAGGAAACAGCTGATAATGCCATTTTACAAGTTGAGGGAATCGAAGATACCTTCAGAATAACCAGGATTTTTGTAGATGAGAATGTGGAGTATATCTTAATCGATTATGATCCTTATTTTTTCAGAATATGAATGTGTACGAAGGCAATTGATAAAAGAAAACAAAACAAAAATATCTGTCTTTCATACTAAATTTCTTCCTAAAGAGTTAATTTGCTTCTAACGAATAGATTTCTACTGTGCCCTTATGAAAATAGAAGATACTGAGACTGCTTCAAAAATTTTCAAACAAAAATGTTTCTTTGATGACTCTCGAGAACAGATACTTTCGATAGCTTTGCTGATGAAGAGAGTTTTTCCTTGTTCTACACTAGTATGGTTTGGTTAGCACAAGTCAAAAGTTGACATATGAGCACGGCTCTGGTATTGCTGTTTACTAAGAAACAATTTCTTAAATATTTGGGTATGTCTTGGATCACCTTTATCCATTTTTTCTTAGAGCCAAAGGATCTGGTTTGATTTAATCAATCTTTTCAGATCAAGTATCTTTCCTTTGAATACACATGCGGAATGAAAAAAGCATTCTGCACTCACATAGTTCCAATGTATTGTTTTGAAGGTAGCGCCTGCTATGCTTATTTTTGATTCAATCTGTTAGCGTCAGTGATGATACATGCTGACGCTAAACTGAGATTAAGTTGATCCTTCTAGTCTAACTGGATTAAGACATCTGCCCGGATAGCAGAAGGTATGGATTTGAGTCCTACGAGGGTCGGTTTTTCTCCGTTCTATTCTACATATATATATCTTCTTTCCTTTCCATTTAATTCCCTATGATTTACATATGTAGCTAACACAAGCGTTGATCAAATACAATATAATACACGTTGGCGTAGTGCACAGCGACGACACGCTGATAACATGTTACGTGATAGTTGCAACGAAAAAAGAAGTGTTCGAAATACAATGACATCTCTGTACGACTGATACCAGTAATTCTATAAGTAGTCTCATGTACATTAAAATATTTTAAAGTACACAAGCACATTGTTTTCCCTTGTTCTCATCCATTTGCTGAATTGCAGTCTTTCGTAACAGTTGATCAATTGCACGGAGGGGGCTTCTTATTTGATAAATACGTCTTTGATCTGTCTTTCTCTCTTAGCCGCTATTGCTGCTGATAACCACATGGCCGACGATTTAGTAAAAGTCGCCATTCAAACGTTAGAAGCTTCTTTCGTTCAGGACGCTGGATATTTTCAAGATAAAAGTGTTGGTCACGCACTCGAGAGTCTCTGCCATTGCTTGCGAGAGATCAGCGGCAAGCCTGATTCCTACTCCACGGAAGAGAAACAAAAGCTGGTGATACAACTGAAACCGCTTCAAATCAATCTATTCCATCAGTTACTGGTGCGATTCTTACCAGCGATCCCAACATCCGCCATGAACAGTCTTTTCGATGCCATTCTTTGTCAAATTCAGATCGAAATGGATATCGATGAAAGAGCTAGTGACAGCTACTTCGAGTTATCACTCAGTTGTTTAACGACCAACTCGGTCATCGATTATCTTCTTGAAGTTCGACCGAGTAATCCTGTCGATGAGCGTTTTCTTCAGTTATTAATCGGTATCAGTTATCAGGCGATGTTAAACAAAAAAAGGAAATCCTCTGCAATCACTGTCACACGCAAGAAGACGCCGACTTTTTTCCAATTGAATTCAGAAACGGATCATCTTCTACGCGTGTTTCTTACCTATTTTGATCGCCATTTTCGAGATAACCCAATGAGTCATCAACAATTGGTGATCTTCCATTGGGTGCAACAACTCATCGATTTTATTGTATTCGTGCCATTTTTTGTCAGTACGGGCTATCCAGAAATGGCGATACAATGGTTATCCATCGAGCCGAATCAGCCGATGATCAGCATACAATCATGGCGCGAATGTCTTGATCTAGTTCACAATATTGCTCGTCAAGAATCTGGCATAGAAGCATTAAATAAACTGGAAGCGATTCCGATTATCAAAAAGTGGAAAGAACGTTACTTTGACAAATTTATATCCCAGAACGATGAAAGTTATGAAGATCTTCTCGTACTCTATTACATGACTTATGCTTTGTTAATTGAGCCAGCACTACTCAAACGAGAAGATACCATAGATATTCAAATCGCTCTCGGTCAACTTCTCGATCGAGCTATTCAAGCATTTCAATCAGTGTCTCTCCAGTTTTCTTACTACAATGTGTCCGAATTTTTGGCCCCACTGGCAAAATTTTCCGTCAATGACAAGTGTCTATTGCACATGCTGGCACGTGAAAATATGTTTGAATTTTTTATGGAGAAATTTCTCGAATTCAATCGACTATTACTAAGCAGTGCCGATTCCGAATCATCCGATTTGAATACTCTCATTTGCTCACAGTTCTATACGATTTTCTGGTCGATTAGTTTTCAACTAGATTATCATCCTACGATGAAAAACAATACGGAATTCGTTCGATTTATAGAACAAATTGCTGAGATCGATTCAAGTAGTGAAGAAATCGCGATAATAAAGAGATCAGCCAAAGGGATTCGGTTTAATCTTGACTTAGATCAATCATTAATCGTCAATACTCAATCAGAGCGAAAGGATCAGGCCGATGGCATCAGGGTCATGGTTTCCTATGCGCATAGAGATAGTTCGTTTTGTCGGAAACTCGTAAGCAATCTGCAAGGTCAAGTTCAAGGAGACGTATGGGTGGATTATATCAAATTGGAACCACCATACGAGGACGATTGGGAAGAAATAGCCGAAGCAATTACACACTGTGATGTAGTAGTAATGATTGTAACAGCAAATTATTGCGACTCGAAAAGTTGCCGTCGAGAAGTGGTCCATGCTGATAAACGTAAGAAGCGAATGATACCTGTTTATCAGGGTTTGGAGTATGAACCGCCTGATTGGTTTGAAATTCGGGCTGGTTCAGCAACGTGGGTTCGCTTCAATGATACGAGAACCGATGAAGAAGTAATGGCAATGCTTGTGAAAATGATTAATTCTCAAGAAAAAATTAAAAAAACTTCAAATACAGAGACGGTATCTCAAAAGTTATATTTTCCGAGTAACAATACTGTTCCACCGAAGAGTTCGGAAGTTCTGCCAACACCGTTACTAGTTGCTGTTTCACAACCCACTGTTTCCGAATCACTCATCATAGTTTCACCGGCACTATCAACTCCTAGAAAACCAATCGAACAGTGGACTGGCGCAGAAGTTCAGCAATGGCTTCGTTTACCTATATCTGTCCTACAGCTGTCGTGTGGTCGTGCTTTGTTAAGCTATGCACGACTGATATCAGACGAGGGCACTCAGCGAGATGAATATGAACGAATTCTCCGAGATCGTGGCCTAACTCGTGAGCAATGGGCGAATCTACTCTCTTCCTTTTCGACTCTTCGTACTCTGCATACGATACAAGCATCACCAAAAACTTCGCCTGAACAGTGGTTAAGCTGCGAAGTTAAATATTGGTTCGAAAAAAACAACCTACCGAATTATCTACTAGATACGCTTGCCTTTGTCGACGGAGTGGAACTTGTCGTTTACGCTAAGATGATGACTGACTCATCAGAACGCATCAACGTGGAATACGATCGACTTCGATTTAGAATTCGAGCACGCTATAATGGGCAAGATCTTCTTCAATTAGACGAATACGCTCGATTCGTACGTGCTCTAAGAAGTATTGTCGAGCAATTAGAAGTGCCACTCGAACCGTGCCAAGCGACAGAATCCTGCAATATTTGACTAAACTCTTCATTACTGAAAGAACATAGCTCCTTCAGTAAATTCATTATTTAGCTAACCTTTTTTCGCCAATATCTTTTCTGTAGAAATCGACCTTACACAATTGTGTCGATATTGATGGCGCGCTCCAATGATTCTCCTTCCTTCACTTTCTGTTCTTTCTCCATTGTTCTAATCTATATCTCTCTCCTATATATACGTGTGCTATGTATGAAGTTGTTACACTCGGGATATGTGAATAAACATCACTGTCGAGCAGCGGCTCGCTGCTCGTCCAGTTTGTCTAACGATAGCTCACCCCATATTATCGTTACAACAATCAGCAGTAGAATTGCAGGAATCCATACAATATTGCATTAGACTGCTAGAATATTAATGCTAACTTCAACTAATATTGCTTCATAAAAATTGACGTTGGCTTCACAAATTTAGTCATAAAATACTTGAGGGTATGGTTGTCGTTGGGATTGAATGTCGGTTTGTATTTGGATGTGGTTGCTGATTCTCTTTTTATTCAAACGCATCCACACATCCACAGTGAGTCATCGGCACTCACACTAACGCCCATGTCTACACCCTGACAAGAAACAATTCTGTCTCTGAAACTGGGCATTTGCTTCAGCTCATCTCGACAGAGCTGGTCCTCAGTTCCAGCCCATCTCAAACGAGCAGAGAAATTTCACCCAGCACAATGAGTCGAGATGCAGTTGTTACATAGTTAATCCTGATAATTCGTTATCTGTATGGCTGATATTAACAATGAGGGTTTTAGTGCAACTCATACTGTGCACAAAATCGCAAATGAAGCATATTCAACATAGAAAACTTTCGAAAGGTGCTGTAATCAACTAGCACGCGGTACGATTGTGCAATTTGGACATCTATTCGGCACATATGTGTAAATTACGAACATAATAATTGACAAATCATATACGATCAATTTTGAGTGCAGTACGATCATAATCTGCATGGCTGAGTCAGTTTGGAAAATGATTCCCATAAAAATTTTATTTTCAAGACCATGAGCCTAGGAAAAGAGTCCTAATTTTGATTCATAAATAACACGAAATATGAGGTCTATAATCCTACGTCTATCCTTTTAGCTCTCTTCTTCGGTCCAATCTTTTGTTTGGAAGCTTGTAGACACTTGTATTGGGCAAAAATTCATTGAATTTTACAATCTCGCTGAACCTGAAACTACCGATATAGATATCTCTAGTGTTCTTTATTAATGGACTTCAATCATTCATAATGTCGTGTATCGTATTTATTGCATCATAAAATAAATTTTCAGTTAATGAGTTAATTGAGAAGAAAGGTAATGTCTAAAATCGTCTAAGATGATCTAATCACTTCAATCATCATAAACACTGTTACCAGTATATATTAAACAAATGATCGGTTGACACGTTATTTTCAAATTCTTTTTTACCCGCATCTATTCTATCATTACAAGATTTATGCATTTTATTTTCATCCGTCGATGACCATACTCCATGATCAATAATATAACCGAAAATGTGAACACAGTTCGATGCATATTTCAATGGTTCGTGCATATGTGGATGCCAAGCGACGAGAATGCATCCGATTCCAAAATTCTCGGAATCACTACCCATGAGCTCCCACATGTCCCGTGTGATTCCGGAATTGAGTTCTCATCCTCGATTTATCACTTGTCATGGGCAGATGTAGAATAGTGAACAACGAGTCCAACCATGTCCATATCAACAACTATACCCGCACCCACACTAACACGCACACACCCACATCCAAGAGAGTTAATATTTGAGGAGACAAATTTCAATGTTTTCTTTTTTACAGAAGCTTCGCTGCTGAAAGAAAACAGGATACAAGGAATTTTCAGATCGAAACGGTATGTGGAGCATATAAGCCTTTGCTAGAAAGATGTACGTCATGGTGTTCATTACATACCACGTTTACTGGATAAATATTTTATAGAAGATGCAAAATAATACTTAGTAAAATGTGTGGATACTGTAAAAGTTCCTTACAGTACAGAAAAAGTTTCTCATATTTTCGATATGAAGACACAATTAGAGAGTACATAAGTAAATATAATCTTCCTTCTACCTTTCCACTCTTTAGATAATATCAATCTTAGAGCTTCTTGTATCAAACATCAATTGATAAGAATACATGAAATATTCAGATTCAAACAGGTTCGATGTATAGTGGAATACATAACATTTCGATGACTAATAAAAAAAAATCTGTGCTATATAATGATAAAACTGATGAGATTTTCTTGTTAAAGAGTTATTTTCTACCAAAAAATGAATAAGAGTATTTTTCTTCTGAAGGGCGTGTCGTTATCTCTATGGATAATATCTTTTAAAACGAAGGAGGATTGTTGATCTTGTTCAAGATTATACAAAGAAAAGACAAAAAAAAACGTGTTTATCTAACTTCAACATGCGAATCTATTGAGATAGTTGTCTATATATGACTAACTATGATTCTTTTATTTATCTGGTTTTCATTCATATTTAGAAAATAAATCAGATTAATAAAAGCTTGTTAGCGCAGCTACTTTGTAGCTGAAATGTGGAACTCAAATATTACCTAAAAGAAAATACGCTGTTTAATAGCACTTCTTTATGTAAGAAAGTATGGTATAAACTATAGAACGGGTGAAAACCACCAGTCAAGTATTATTGGGCTCATTGATAGTGATCAGTATCATCAAAGAAGTATCAAAAAGCTTTTTCAAATTGTTCTTTTAATTGAACTAAATTGTTCT